ATCTTAAAGGCATTACAATGAGAATATACACAAGTTTCCATGTTCCTTCAAACAGCTTTCCAAGTCGCCAGCATAAATTCTATAGATGACAAAGCATAAACATATCCTCTAATTGTAAAGTATCTTAAGGAAGGCATCTGTTTTATTAGAAGAATTACTTTCTAATTTTCAGGCGATTAGTTTCATCTTTACCCAACTCAATTCCAGTTTCTAACAGTAACTTATATTGTGTATTGACCACAAAAAAGAATGCCTACTTTTTAAACATACTATTTGAAACCCAAATAACCGTATAGCTAGACATCACATTAGAGATAAGTTGTTGTTATGGATATCACAAGTAATAATTTACAAATTTTGTGTGATACTCCTGATAGCTTCATGCAAAGACCAGTACTTCCATTTTAAAACTAATTGTTGGTAATATTGTCCTCATTGCATGTTAAGCTTTTAACTCCTTGAACCACATCTGCATTGGTGATATCAACATACCTGCCACAGTGTTTTGTTTGTCTTCTGCAAGTCTAAAGCAAGTTTTGAGGCGCTCTGATAGTACAGTGGTCAAAACATATGGCTACTGACCAAAAGGTCGGTGGGTGAACCCACCAGCCGCTTGGCAGGAGAAAGATGAGGCCGTCCGCTTGTGTAAAGATTACAGCCTAGGAAAGTGTAGGTGGCAGTTCTGTTCTGTCCTATAGGGTCACTGAGAATCAGAATCAACTCGATGCCAGTGGGTTTAGTTTTTTGGTTTTAAAGCAAGTTTTATTTGATCAGCAAGGGGCTCATGGTTATTATAAGTCACAACTTTTTCTGTTCCTTTTTCCAAACACCCTTTTTTTTCCTAATGTGATTTTTAAAAATGAGATGTAATTTTACATATCACAAAACTCACCCTTTAACATTGTACCATTCAGTTTTCCTAATTTCTTTTTTTTGTCTGCTCCAGTGTTCTGATGAAAGAAAGATCGTTACAGCTTGCTGGTTTTGAAACACTTTTACACAAATCATCTCTAACTGTCCTAGAGATGGCAGCATTGAGCAACATATTTTGATAATAGGTTGCTTCACAGTTACTGTGAATTTTCAGTCAGGAGTGAATTTTTCATATAGTAGTATATCAGGACAATACGCCACAATATTAATTTGGTGTGAGATGACAAGATAATACTTGTACCTGGTCGACATTGCTTCAGTTAGATTCCACGAGAGCGTCTCTGTCCTTTCCGTATGTTGTGTGCACCAAACGTGCATTCGCATTTCCAAAGTTAACTCATTAATAAGAAATGCAGAGAGCAATTGAAGTTACTATCGTGTAATTATAAGAAATACGAACCACCTTTAACACTAGTAGTAAAACATCAGCAAACAGGAAGAAATGGCGATGACAGCAACTGGCTTCCCTAAGAAGCCCCTTAGTTACTTCGGCTAACAGAAACGTCAGAACAAGCTAATTTATTTCATGATTCCTATCGGATATTTTAGCCACTGGGTTGGGTTTTAAAAGCAGAGATCCGTTACCAAAGACAATGAAAGACATTTCAAAAAAGCATTTGTAACAGCAATTAGTTTTATGTGATCAAAATCCTAACCTTTCTGCGAAGGGGATTCTAAGATATTTGCAAACTAAATTGATCTCCCAGTCCTATCCTTTCAGGAAAGTGGACAGCGTGTCTCGTTTCCCACAGGGGGTATATTTCTTTTATTCAAATAGGGAGGAGGTGTCGTTTGAACTCACTGAGCAAATCTATGGATTTGAGTTGTTTTTCTACAGTGTGTGAAATACTCACCCTCATCCCTATGCCGGCGCTAAAGATCAATCCTGTAAAAAAACACTCTTTGGTCTCACCTAGGTAACAAGGTTACTAGCATTCACTAGCACCTTTCTTTTTTCTTGCCAAGGGTAAAACCCCCTACTGACTCGAGGCTTCCGCAGCCCCTCACCATTCCCGGTAAAGCACTCTCTCCCCCAGAATCTCCTTTGCTGTCATTGCCGCCTGGTTACCAGTTCCCAAATCAGCTATTTATAGCCTTGCCGTAGTGGGCACGTGTGCCCACATCACCAAGCTGTCAGAAGGAAAGAGGGGAGGGCTTCCACAGTGTGGACGCAAATTAGAAGTTTACAGGAGGTTGCATGAGGGCAGGCACCAGAGAGGAGCAATCGAATCCCAGGCCTGGGTGCGACCAGCCCCTCCGCAGATGCCCAATTCCCAGTTCACGTTTCGTTCGCCACTGAATGGCGCCTACGTTGTTTTTTTTACTACGCTTTGCAACCTACCTTGGTACCCTTACCCTCCCTCCCTATTTCCCCTCCTTCAATGCAAGGCTTGAAAGACAGGCAGCCCCACCAATCAGTAGCTTTCCCAAGAACTCTTCCCTCCCCTCCCGCCCCGCATTAGGCCCAGATGCTCACCCCGGCGGCTCCGCGCGTCCTGGCCAGTGAGCATGCCCAGCGCCCCGCCAGCGGCGTTGCGGGGCGAGCATCCCGCAGTGCCCTACAGCGAGGAGGGTCCCGGCGTAAGAAGGGGGCGGGAGCCCAAAATGAGCCTGGGATCTGATGGAAAGTAAGATAGCTTTAAGCAGAAAGACCAATGTCATTTTGGTAGAGTTCTTCACCCCAGCTAGACAAGCAGGGAACAAACTGGCTTATAGGTCGGCTTAAATTAAAAACACAGAACAAAACCAAACCTAGCGGGGGCAAAGCGACCATGCAAGAGGCTCTTCAGGTAGACTGGAATTGCTGACCTGTTCCCCTGACGAAGCGCCCCTTTTCCTGTGGAGCTGAACTGGCAGCATCCTTGTTTTCTTCCGACCATCCTTGGGGTCAAGGAGCCCTGGTGGCGCAGAGGTTAAGGGCTTGGTAGGTCGGTAGTTCGAATCCACCAGCCACTCAGGAAGGAAGATGTAGAAGAAAGATGTTGCAGTGTGCTTCCAGAAAGATTACAGCCTTGGAAACCCTAGGGGGCAATTCTGCTCTGCCTATAGGATCACTATGAGTGTGAATCCACTGGGGGGCAGCGAGTATCCGTGTGGTCAACAGTAAAAATGTACAGGGGGACTCAGTGGGTGTGCAGGTTGGGTGGGAAACAAGCATTTCAGCCAATGATGTTACAGCAGGGCTTTGGGTTTCTGAACCCTCTGTAGGTCTCGAACATCTTTTCGTAAATCACAAACAGACTTTGGCACACTGTGAGTGGCATCGCATTCTCTCTGAAGCCTTCCCCTCTAGGTGTGACTCACCCTTCACCTGGATGGGGAAGCGTGATATTAACATTTTCTCCCTAGTTGATCAGCATGGAAGCCCACAGCGTCAGGATTGGGGCGCTTCTTGGGGATTCCCGCCTTTCTTTTCCAGAATGACCATGACCCCCCTCCGTCCATACATTGCCCTTGGGTGTCCAGCTGTTTCTCAGCACCACAGGCGGGGATTCCAAGGTGGAAGGCTGTACCAGAAGCCCCTTAAAACCTTGCAAAAAGACAGGTCCCTTCACCAGGCCTATCACCCAGAAACCGAGATCCAGCTTCTCTGTTTCCTGGGAGAAAAACTCTCGGCTGGAAACCTCCCGCCGCCCGGAGGCTCGGTCTTACCTGCTAGGTAAGATGCAGCCCCGCTCGCGCGCCCCTCCTCGCGGGCCCTCCCACTCGGGGCTCCGCAGCCGCAGTGCCCCCCCGCCGCCCCCCACCCTCACTCCTGCGTCG